GTGCCTGTAGTTCCAGCTACTAGGAAGGCTGAGGCGGAAGGATCGCTGGAGCCCAGCAGGTCGAGGCTGCGGTGGCCAGGAGCGTGCCACTGCACTCCGGTTGGGTGACAGAGTGAGACTCCAACTCAAAAAAATAAATAAATAAAAAATAAAAATAAAATTAAAAAATAACCAAACTGAGGTCTTCCCAAAGTGATATTATGTTTGTATAATATTAAATTATATTATCCATTGAGAGGTCTGTATAAAGATTGAATTTTTATGAGTTTAGGTAATGGTTTTTATGAGTTCAGGTAACCTCTAGCAATAATTGTTCTAGATGTTACTTCCCTAATTTAACCAAAGTTTAGTTGCTTTAATGTGGCTACTAAGAACTATGTCCTTGGAGGGACATAATGCAAAAATTGAGGAATTATCAGAAAAGAAGCTTAAAGTTTAGGAAATAAGATTCTCTCATTTTATCTAAAACTGGTTTATTCCAGCAAGCATCATTGTGAAATTTAGCCTACTTATACCACACATTCAGTAAATAGTTGTAAAAGTAATAAATAATATTTAAAAGAAAATTCAAAAATAGTATTCTCACATTTCCGTGGTTTTAGTTTTTAATTATTGTTTCTATTTGGTTTTAGGGTGGATCTATTTTATTAATAACAGGTCCTCCTGGATGTGGAAAGACCACTACTATAAAAATACTATCAAAGGAGCATGGTATTCAAATACAAGAGTGGACCAATCCTGTTTTACCAGACTTCGAAAAAGAAGATTTCAAGATGTGTAATCCTGGTAAGGTTAGCTGTGAAGGGAATAGAAATAATGGGGAAAACTTAATGGTGCCTTCAGATGAAACTGGGTGAGTGCATTGTTTCCCCATCCTTCCAAGTTTCAGACAAGTAATTTCCCAAGAAGGAAGGATCAAATTTTACTTGTTTTGTAAGATAATAAGCTCTTCTATTTGCATTCTTTATGAACTTTTTTCCAGGATCTGTCTAGGCGGTTAAGCAATATCTTTTTTTTGTAAAATCAAGCCATAATGCGTGTTAAAAGAACTTCACCTCCCCCCCTCATAAGATAGCTTCGATTTAGCAAATACCTGTTAGAATAAAATCAAAGTAAAAGACAAAGACTGTCTTTGGCATTTGGAAGGAGCCCTTAAAGTAACTCCTATTCAACATTGTAATAGGAGTCCTTGCAAGAGCAATAGCCAAGAGAAAGAAACAAAAGGCATTCAGATCAGCAAGGAGGAATTCAAACTTTTCTGTTCACTGATGACATGATTGTATACCTAGAAAATTGGTCAGGCCCAGTGGCTCATTCCTATAATCCTAGCACTTTGGTAGGCCAAGGTTGGAGGATTACTTGAGTCCAGGAGTTTTTTGGTTTTTGGTGTTTTTTTTTTTGAGTCAGAGTCTCACTCTTGCCCAGGCTAGAGTGCAGTGGTACTCTCTTGGCCACCGCAGCCTTGACCTGCTGGGCTCAGGCAATCCTTCCGCCTCAGCCTTTGAAATAGCTAGAACTGAAGGTGTGTGCCACCATGCCCAGCTAAGTTTTTGATTTATTGTGGAGATAGAGACGAGGTCTTGCCAAGTGTCTCGGGCTATTCTCAAACACCTGGGCTCAGACAATCCTCTCACCTTGGCTTCCCAAAGTGCTGGGATTGCAGGTGTGAACCACCACGTCCTGCAAGGCCAGGAGTTTTAAGACCGTCCTGGGCAACACAGCAGAACTTCTCTACAAAAATAAAAAAGTTAGCCAGGCACGATGTCCTGCACCTGTAGCCCCAGGCACTTGGGAAGCTGAGGCAGAAGGATAGCCTGAGCCTAGCAGGTCAAGGCTATGGTGAGTCGTGATCGGGCCACTGCACTCCGGCCTGGGTGGCAGAGTGAGACCACAACTCCATGAATGAATGCGTGAATAGAACAAGAAGCCCTGGCGGCTTGAGAACAGTTGAAATTTATTGGGGAAAAAGCAAAACCCTAAAAACTCTTCCAAGAAACTCCTAGACCTGATAAACAACTTCAGTAAACTTTCAGGATACAAAGTCAGTGAATAAAAGTCAATAGCATTTCTATTCACCAGTAATGCTTATGCCAAGAACTAACCCAATCCCATTTACAGTAGCCCCCAAAATAATCAGATATCTAGAAATATACTTAACCAAGAAGGTGAAAGATCTTTACAAGGAGAGTGCTGATAAAGGAAACTGTAGATGACCATACTGCCCAGAGCGATCTACAGTTTCTACTCAGTCCCTGTAAAAAGCCCAACGTCATTTTCGGAGAACTAGAAAAAAGAATCCTAAAGTTTATGTGGAACCAAAAAGAGCTCGAACAGCCAAAGCAATCCTAAGTAAAAAGAGCAAATAGCCGGGCTCAGTGGCTCAGCCTGTAATCCCGCGCCTTTGGGAGACTGAGGTGAGTGGATCACCTGAGCCCACGAGTTCGAGACCCGCCTGGGCAAGCGAGACCTCATCTCTACAATAAATCAAAAAATCAGCCGGGTGTGGTAGTGCATGCCTGTAATTCCAGCTACTCGGAAGGCTGAGGCAGAAGGATCGCCGGGGCCCAGCAGGTCGAAGCTGCGGTGGCCGGGGGCGACTACTGCACTCCAGTCTGGGCGACGGAGTGAGACTCCAACTCAAAAAAAAAAAAAAAAAAAGAGCAAATACAGGGGCATCACATTGCCTGACTTCAAATTGTGCTACAAGACTATAGTAACTAAAACAGCATGGTACTGGTACAAGAGTACTTGTACATGTACTTGAGCATGGTACTGGTACAAGATCAATAGAACAGAATAGAAAACCCAGAAATAAAGCCACAAACCAACTAATCTTCAACAAAACTAACAAAAATAAACAATGAGAAAAGGATACCCCTTCAATAAATGGTGCTGGGAAAATTGGTACCCATATGCAGAAGAATTAAACTGGACCCCTGCTTCTCACAATATAGAAAAATTGACTCAAAATGAATTAAATATTTGAATGTAAGTCTTGAAACTATAAAAATCCTCGAAGAAATCCTAGGAAAAACTCTTCTGGACATCAACCTAGGCAAAGAATCTGTAGTGAAAACCCCAAAAGCAAATGTCACAAAAACAAAAATAGACAAATGGAAGTTAATTCGATTTAAAAGTTTCTACATAGGAAAAGAAATAATCAACAGAGTGAACAGAAAACCTATGGAATTGGAAAAAATATTTGCAAATTAAGCCACAAAGGACTAGTATCCAGAATTTACAAGGAACACAACTCAAACTGAAAAAAATACCAGAAAGTGGGCAGAGGACATGAGTAGATAGGTGCTTCTCAAGAGAAGATGCACAAGTGTGCCACTGCACTGCACTCCAACCTGGGCAGTGGAATGAGACTCCAACTCAAGAAAGAAAAAAAGAAGAAGAAGACGACACCACAAGGGGCCAACAAACGCGAAAAGCTCAATTTCACTGATCATCAAAGAAGTCCAAATTAAAACCGCAATGAGACATCTTAACACCAGTCAGAATAGCTATTATTAAAAAGTCGAAGAACAACAGATGTTGGTACAGATGAGGAGAAAAGGAACACTTATTCAATGTTGGGATTGTGAACTAGTTCAGCCTATGTGGAAAACGTATGGAGATTTCTCAAAGAACTAAAAATAGAACCATTCAATCTAGCAATCCCACTACTAGGTATCTACCCAAAGGAAAAGAAATCAATATATATTACAAAGATTCCTGTACTCATATGTTCATTGCAGCACATTCACAATAGCAAAATCATGGAACCAACCTATGTGCCCACCAATAACTGACTGGATAAAGAAAATGTGGTACATAGGCACCCTGGAATGCTGTGTAGCCATAAAAAAAAAAAATGAAATCATGTCTTTTGCAGCAACATGGATGAAGTTGGAGAACATCATCCTCAGTGAATTCTCTCAGAAACAAAACCAAACACTGCATGTTCTGACTTATATGTGGGAGCTAAAGGGCCACAAAGGGGGAAATAATAGACTCTGGAGATGCCTGTAAGAGGGAAGGGGGGAGGGTTAGGCTTCAGAAATTACCTGTCAGGTACAGTGTTCACTCTCTGGGGAATGGGTCATCTGAAGCCCAATCCCCACCACTACAAATATGTCCATGCAACAAACATGTGCTCGTGACTCCCAAAAAAAAAATTCAACAGGTGATAATACTACCAAAGGCATTACATTATAACATCACACGTGTGCTTATACTTGAGAGCACTGTCATTTTTACCTTTCATAGTTTTTCTTATTGCTACTATAGGTGACTAAACTAGGAGCAGCCAAATCTCCTGGCTACTTTAAAGGGAAGGGGGTTTTGTAGAAGATTCATTTTTTAATAATATGGAATAGTCCTTAAACTGCCTTCTCTGAGCTCTTCTTTAATGTACTCTGTACCTACCATGTCTTTGGTATGCACACCCTTAAACCGCTAGTATCTCATGCTCCTGGATTTTTTTTTTCTTCTTTTTTTTTTAAGAACAGAAGTCTTGGTGCGTTGCTCAGGCTGAACTCGAACTCCTGGGTTCAAGGGATCCTTCCACCTCAGCCTCCCAAGTATCTGGAACTACAAGCTTTTACTGCTTTCTAAATAGTAACGTTACTTAAGTTTGTTAAGTCTTCATTTTAACAGTCTTCTATATGAAACATGCCTTCAGAGAATTTCTTTCATCCTCAGATTCACTAACCATCATTCTGTTTTTATTGGTAAACCTTTCTCACTGAAAATAATCCATTTATGGGGGCACCCATTCAGAGAGTCTTTGTTTTGTAGGCCAAAGTCATAAATACTTTTACCAGTTGTATGAATAGTTATGCTGATGTCTGTGTTTTGAGGTCAGTTAACTCTATGTTACAGTCTTTGGTATAGAAAAATTACTATTGTCCATATTTACTCTTGTCTTTTGAATTGAGCATTCTTTTTTCTTATTTAAAAAATGTGGGGTGCAATTTAGGGTTACGTATACAAATGTTCATTATGCAGGTGCCCTTGTTGAGGTGTGCCCCCCCCCCGGTAGTTTTCCACTACTGCCAATCCCGCCCCTACCCCGCACCCCGGCAGTTTCCCACTACTGCTAATCCCTTTCTTATAGGATTATAATTGTTCAAACTCTGCTTATGAATGAGAACATGTGGTACAGTTCTTTGTTTCTGTGACAGATCACTCAGTATTATAGACTTTTAAGTCCATCCAAGTTGCTGTGAAATTTGTAATTTTGTCCTTTATGTCTGTGTAATATTCCATCATGTATATGTGCCACATTTTTTTTTTTAGATTGGAAAATATAGTTTATTTAGAAAGTAAATGAGAGAGAGAAGAGCACATGGCCATACCACCATCTAGTAAGGCAGGGGCGGGTTTTGTTTTTGTTTTTGTTTTTTGAGTTGGAATATCACTCTGTCACCCAGGCTGGAGGGCAGTGGCATGCTCTTGGCCATTGCAGCCTCAATTTGCTGGGTGACTCAGGTGATCTTCCATCTCAGCCTTCCAAGTAGCTGGAACTACAGGCACGTGCCACCATGCCTGGCTAATTTTTTTATTTAATTTGTTATAGAGATGAGGTCTTGCCACGTTGCCCAGGCTGGTCTTGGGCCCTCAGGCTCAGGCAATCCTCTCCCACATTTTTTTTAATCCAGTCTTCTTTTGGTGGGTAGCACAGTTTGTTCCATGTTTTTGCTATTGTGAACAATGCTGCAGTAAACATGCATGTGCAGTTATCTTTTTCATAGAGTGATTTGAGTTCCTCTGGGTATATTCCCAGTAGGGGGATTGTGGGTTGTATGGAAGACCGATTTTGAGATCTTTTAGAAATTCCACACTGTTTTCCACAGAGGTTGTACTAGTTTACACTCCCACCAACAGTGTAGAAGTGTTCCCTTTACCCACGTTCTCTCCAGCAAATGCTTTTGGAGTTACTGATGGTGGCCATACTGATTGGAGTTAGGTTGTATCTCGGTGTGTGAAATGAGCAGTCCATCTTAAATTTAAATAACTTCTTCTGCAGTACTGTGAGCTGCACCATGAATGTATGTGTATATACACATATATAATATTAATGTCTACAGAATTTGTTGAAAATAAAAATGATATGTTTGTTTCCTTTCAGAACCAAGCTTCCATATATTTCCCTATCAGTCTCAGGTAGCAGTTTTCAAAGAGTTTCTACTAAGAGCAACAAAGTATGACAAATTACAAATGATTGGAGATGATCTGAGAACCGATAAGAAGATAATTCTGGTTGAAGTAAGAGCAGCTTTTGTTGTTGTTGTTGTTGTTGTTGTTGTTGTTGAGTCGGAGTCTCATTCTGTCACTCAGGCTGGAGTATAGTGGCACACTCACGGTCATCGCAGCCTCCATCTGCTGGGCTCAGGTGATCCTTCTGCCTCAGCTTTCCAAGTAGCTGGAATCACAGGCGTGCACCACCACACTCAACTAATTTTTTTATTTATTGTAGAGATGGGGTCTCTCCATGTTGCTCAGACTGGTCTCAAACCCAAGGGCTCATGTAATCCTCTCACCTACGCCTCCCAAAGTGTAGGTGTGAGCCACCACGCTCAGCTCAGTACAGCTTTTTTGTTCTTTTTTTTTGAGCAAGACTGTTAGTCTGTCACCCCGGCTAGAGTGCAGTGGCAAGCTCACGGCCACCTCAGCCTCGACTTGCTGGGTTTAAGCAATCCTTTCACCTCAGCATGCCACCACACCACCTGAATTATTGTACACATGAGGTCTCACCAAGTTGCCCAGGGTGGTCTTGAACCTTTGGGCTCCCAAAGTGCTGGGATTATAGGCATGAGCCACCGCACCCAGCCAGGGCAGCTTTTAAAATCCTGCTGTAGCCAGGCTCGGTGGCTCATGCTTATAATCCCAGCACTTTAGGAGGCAGAGTCAAGAGGATTGCCTGAGCTCAGGTTCAAGACCTGTCTAAGCAACATGGTGAGATCTCTTCTCTACAGTAAATCAAAAAATTAGCTGGGTGTGGTGGTACACACCTGTGGTTCCAACTACTTGGAAGGCTGAGGCAGAAAGATCACCAAACCCAGCAGGTCGAGGATGCAGTGGCTATGAACATGCCACTGCACTCCACCTGGGCAACAGAGTAAGACTCCAACTCTAAATAAATAAATTAATTAATTTAATTAAATGATTTAAGTATAGAGATGCAAAAAAAAAAAAAAACTTGGAAATTATTTCTCAGTGAAAATACTATAACTAGTAAGCAACCCTAAGAAATTTGGTCTGAAAACTGGGGTTTCCATTGGTGCATATTATTGTTTAGGATATAAGCTATTTCATGTTTCCTTTAATTTCTGTGAAAGTTGTAGTTAAAATATATTCAGTAGAAAAAATGTTTTTCTGTCTTGGCAAATGTAAATCTGAAAATAAATTTGCAATAAATAAAACTACTAATATTTACTCTTTATTTTTAATAGGATTTACCTAACCAATTTTATCGAGATTCTCATAGTTTACATGAAGTTCTAAGGTAAGTTTCAGTGAAGGATTCTGAAACTCCAAATCAAATGACAAGAGGCTTAAATTTTAACATTACAATATTTTGTTATTTTAGGACATATGTACAGATTGGCCGATGTCCTCTTATATTTATAGTCTCTGACAGTCCCAGTGAAGATAATAATCAAAGGCTACTATTTCCCAAAGAAATTCAAGAAGAGTGTTGTATCGCAAGTATTAGGTAAGAAAGAAATTTCTGCTTATAAAGTTCACATAGTTATATTTTTAGTTTAGCCATTTAACCACCATCTTTAAATAAAATTTTGCAGTTTCAACCCCGTGGCACCAACAATTATGATGAAATTTCTTAATCGAATACTGACTATAGAAGTTAATAAGGTAAGTCTCTGTTTAATTGAACCTGACTGTGACTATAGAAAGCCCAACTTAAATAGTATTCTGTAAACTGGAGAAGTTGGAGACTTGTATTATTTTGGTTTTTAGAATTAAAACATTTTGTCACACACATAAAGCATGGCATTTTAGCAAATGCAGGAAAAAATGATTTTTAAAAAATCTTTTACCTTTACCTATTATTAAACTTTCACTTTCATATTGAGGTAAATTTTCTCATTGCTTGACTTACCATTCTAAATTGTGTCTCTCAAGAAAATGTCTCCCAACATCTAGGGATGGTAGTTATTAAAAGTTCAACTCTACTATTGTCCTGTTGTCCCTTTTTTTGAGTCAGAGTCTCACTCTGTTGCCCAGTTGGGGGGTGCAGTGGCATGCTCACAGCTACCTCAACCTGCTGGGCTCAGACGATCCTTCTGCCTCTGCCTGCCGAGTACCTGCAACTATAGACTCACGCCACCATGCCTTGCTAATTTAATTTTTTTTTTGAGTGAGATTCTCCCTCTGTCACCCAGGCTGGAGTGCAGTAACATGATCACAGCTATTGCAACTTTGACCTGCTGGCCTCAGGCGATCTTTCTGCCTCAGCAGGGTCTCCCCATGTTGCCCAGGCTGGTCTCAAACTCCTGGGCTTAGGCAATCCTCTTGCCTCAGCCTCCCAAAGTGCTGGGATTACAAGTGTGAGCCACTATGCCCATCCAAAAACAGCTATTAATAGTGAAAAATTAGTAACAAACTGAAATCAAAAATAGAGGGAGCAGTTATGATAATAAGCTATTATATCATTAATTATTGTTTTGAAAATAATAACATGGGAAAATGCTTACAATGTAATGGCAAGTTAAAAATAACAAGAAGCCAGGCTCGGTGGCTCAGCCTGTAATCCCGCGCCTTTGGGAGGCTGAGGTGAGTGGATTGCCTGAGCCCGCGGGTTCGAGACCCACCTGGGCAGCGAGACCTCATCTCTTCAATAAATCAAAAAATCAGCCGGGCGTGGTAGCACATGCCTGTAATTCCGGCTACTTGGAAGGCTGAGGCGGAAGGATTGCCGGAGCCCAGTAGGTCGAGCCTGCGGTGGCCGGGAGCGGCCACTGCACTCCAGTCTGGGCGACAGAGTGAGACTCCAACTCAAAAAAAAAAGAAAAAAAAAAAAAGAAAAAATTATGTAATGCTAACAGTAAAAATAATGTTTAGCCCTCAGTCTGTGTCAGGTTCTTTGCAAAGTATTTTTTTTACATATGAGATGTTATTAAAACCTTACCACAGGTGTACAAAATTGATACATTAACCCCACTTAAAGGTTAGGAAACAGTTTTAGGAGGGAAAAAAACTTGCATAATATTCTACAACTATCAAGTATCAGATGGGATTAAAGTTTGATCCTGATTAATTTACTGTATAAAAAGAAACAAGGTGAATAACAATAAAATGCACATATATCCATAAACCTATACATCCTGGAGGAAAGTACACAAAAATGCTAAATATGATTAGTTCTGGATGGTAGGATTACTTATGTTTGTGTGTGTGTGTGTGTTTGAAAAAAATCTACATTGTCTACTATGAGCATGAAAACTGTAAATTGAACCAGGTACTGTGGCGCAAGCCTGTATTCCCAGCTACTTAGGAGACTGGGGGTAGGGTTGTTGGAGGGACAGATCACTTGAACCCAGGAGTACCAATTCAACCTGGGCAATATAGCAAGACCTTGTTTCTTTAAGAAATTAAAAAATTTAAAACTACAAATTCTAAATGTTTTAGTTTTGGCCTAGGCAACATAGTGAGGCCTCATCTCTACAAAAAGAATCTTAAAATGCCAGACATGGTGGCATGTACCTGTAGTCCCAGCTGCTTGCTAGGCTAAGGTGGTAGGACCACCTGAGCCCAGAAGGTTGAGACTACAATGGACTGTGAGCTGTGATCGTGCCTCTGCACTCCAGACAGTGAGCGACAGTGAGACCCCCAACTCAAAAAAGAAGTATTAACATAAAAGTGAAGTGAAACTGCTGGGCACGGTGGCTCAGGCCAGCACTTTGGGAGGTGGAGGCGGAGGCAAGAGGATTGCCTGAATTCAGGGGTTCAAGACCAGCCTGGGCAACTTGGCAAGACCTCATCTCTACAATAAATTTAAAAAATACCCAGTGTGGTGGCGTGCGTCTGTAGCCTTGGAAAACTGAGGTTGAAGGATCACCTGAACCCAGCAGGTCAAGGCTGTAATAGCTGTGAGCATGCCACTGCACACCAGGCGGGGCGACAGAGCGAGACTCCTACTAAAAAAAAAAAATAAATTAAAGTAATAAAAATGAAGTTAATCTGGAAGAGAAATTCACAGGAATGAGTAATAACATTTTGTAAATGAATGATACAGTACTACCTAGGTTATCAGTGCATAATATAAAACTATAGAAATACCAACTGGTATGGGTACAGTAATAGACAAACAGAAGAATGAAATGAAAGATGGCACAGACATGGATAAGTATGTGTAAATGGGAATTCTCTATCCGTTGGAGGTGAGATTTTGCATCACTGAGGAAAGTAGACTTTTATAGTCAATAAGTAGTGTCGGAACAATTGGGTATGTAGGTAGAAAAACATAAGGTTGCATCTTTGTATGGTGCACACAAGTAACTTTCAGGTAAATTAGAGGTTCAAATATAGATATTAAAATTAGAAGAGTATTAGGAAATAAAACTTACTTTGGAGTGGGGGAAAGTCTTCCTAAGCAAGAAACAGAAACCTGAAAGCTAAAAGAAACCTAAAAGAACAACTGATAGATGTACTTCAAAACATGAAAGAGAGCTAGACTCGGTGGCTCACACCTGTTATCCCAGTACTCTGTGAAATGAAGGCAGGAGAGTTACTTGAGCCCAGGAGTTTGAGACCAGCTTAGGCAACATAGTGAGATCTCATCTCTGCAAAAAAACGTAAAAATTAGCCAGGCGTGGTGGTATGTGCCTGTAGTCTCAGGTATTCAGGAGGTTGAAGTGAGAGGATTGCCTGAACCCAGGAGGTTGAGACTGCAGTGAGCCAGGGTTGCACCACTACACTTCTCCAGCTTGGGCAATAGAGTGAGACCTTGCCTCAAAAAAAAAAAAGATAAAAAAAAGGAAATGACAGAAGGTATTATAAATTAAGTTAAAAGATAAACATGGTAATAGAAAAAATATTTGCAGTTTATAAAATAGATAAAAAGCATTAACACCTGAATATATGAAAATATGCCTATAATAAAAAAAGACCAAGAACAGAAGCTAGTACATAAATACAAATGACTGGTAAATATGAAAGATGTTCAGCTCTATTAGTTATCAGAGAAATTCATATTTAAGCTATGTACTCCTTTCCACATATCAGATCGCAAAACGATTAAGATTGATAACCAGCTGGGCTCAGTGGCTCAGCCTGTAATCCCGCGCCTTTGGGAGGCTGAGGTGAGTGGATTGCCTGAGCCCGCGGGTTTGAGACCCGCCTGGGCAGCGAGACCTCATCTCTACAATAAATAAAAAAATCAGCCGGGCGTGGTAGCGCGCGCCTGTAATTCCGGCTACTGAGAAGGCTGAGGCGGAAGGATCGCCGGAGCCCAGCAGGTCAAGGCTACGGTGGCCGAGAGCAGCTGCTGCACTCCAGTCTGGGCAATACAGTGAGACTCTAACTCAAAAAAAAAAAAAAAGATTGATAACCAGAATCGCCAAAGGTTTGGACAAATGGGCATTCCCACATACAATTAGTAGGAAAGGGATTAGTTGTTGTTATAGATATTTGAGAGGTTGCTCAACTACTACATAAACATTCGCACATGTTGGCAAAGACATATCTCATATAAATGTCCATAATGGAGAAAAATGGGAAGCAATGTAAATGTCCCTTCCTTGGGGAAAATAGTAGTTAAATTATGGTATATTCATAAAATTTTTTAAAAATGAGATAGATTTAAAGGTACTAATAGAAACATCACGACTCAGCCTGTAATCCTGCACCTTTGGGAGGCTGAGGTGAGTGGATTGCCTGAGCCCGCGGGTTCAAGACTTGCCTGGGCAGCGAGACCTCATCTCTACAATAAATCAAAAAATCAGCTACTTGGAAGGCTGAGGCGGAAGGATTGCCGGAGCCCAGCAGGTCGAGGTTGCGGTGGCCTCCAGCGTGGACGATGGAGTGAGACTCCAACTCAAAAAAAAAAAATTTAACTCTGTATGTCTATATATACTTAGATAGTGCATATATTTATAGATAAACATACACGGAAAGTGGTCTGGAAAGGTACTTATTAAAATGTTAATACTTATGACAAATTTGGGATTGGGGAAAACTAACAGAGGACAGTAACTTTTTCATAATGAACTTTGGAACAGCTTTGGTTAATGAAGTCAACAAAAATACATATTGAAGAATTGTACTACAGTACTATTTTTCTATTATAATCAGTTTTTATAAGATCTACATAGTGAGACCTCATCTCTACAAAAAAATGAATAAAAGTATAGCCGTTTGTATGGTGTGTACCTGTAGTCCCAGCTACTCAAGCGGTTAAAGCAGGAAAATCACTTGAAGCCAGGAGTTTGAGACCAGCCTGGGCAACTTAACAAGACCTGATCCTACACTCATCCCTGTCTCTAAAAGAAAATGTTTTTTAATTAGCTGTGTGCAGTGGGACATGCTTGTAGCTCCAGCTGCTTGAGAGGCTGAAGTGGGAGAACTGTTTGAACCTAGAGTTTGAAACTAGCCTGAACAATATTAGCAAAACGGCATCTGAAAAAATTTTTTTGTTTAATGAATTGATGCAGTTGTGACTTTTTAATACTCAACAGACTATCAATATGTTAAAAACCCTAGTACAGAGATTTTCATATAAATTTCATTTTTTGTGCATTTAAATTTTTTGTTGTTGTTGAGTCAGAGTCTCTCTCTGTCATCCTGGCTGGAGTACAGTGGCATGCTGCTCACGGCTACCACAGCCTCAACCTGCTGGGCTCAGGTGACCCTTCTGCCTCAGCCTTCCAAGAAGCTGGAACTACAGGCACGTGCCACCACACCCTACTAATTTTTTGATTTATTGTAGAGATGAAGCCTCACCAAGTTGCCCAGGCGGGTCTTGAACCCATGGGCTCAGGTGTGCATTTGCTTTTTATTTTATTTTATTTTTCAGTCAGTTTCTTGCTCTTTCACCCAGACTGGAGTGCTGTGGCACAAACACAACTCACCACAGCCTTGACCTCCTGGGCCCCGGGGATCCTTCTGAGTCAGCCTCCCTAGTAGCTGGGATACAGATGCATGTCGCCACACCCAGCTAATTTTAAAATTTTTTGTAGAGACGAGGTTTCGCTATGTTGTCCAGACTAGTCCCTAACTCCTGGGCCCAAGCAATCCCCCCACCATGGCCTCCCAAAGTGCTGGGATTATAGGCATGAACCACCGTGCCTGGCCTGTAATAAGTTATTAAGGTTTTTACCCTTCATAGGCTGGTATTTAACATGGAGACTTTCTAGTATTTAGATTTCAAAGAATCTACTTCCATTAAGTTTAGAAAATAGATTGGAAGTCTTTTTTTTCTTAAGAAAATACTTTTAAATTTAATTTTCTCATTTTAGAATGGAGGAAAAATTATTGTCCCTGACAAAACTTCACTTGAGTTGCTCTGTCAAGGATGTTCTGGTGATATCAGAAGTGCAATAAACAGCCTCCAGTTTTCTTCTTCAAAAGGTAATGATGCAAGATACACTCATATGGCATTATATCAGTAACTAACTTTCTCTTAATTATTTATGAAATTAAACTAAACATAATTTACATTTGATGCATACCTGTCTACACTTTTTTTTTAAACAGTGGCTTAAAATTATATATGCACACATGCATACACACCCCCACCATGAATATGTTAGGGTATATGAGGGGGACCCAGAAAAAACTGGAATTATCTGGAGGGCGGGCCCCTTGTAGTACACTCAGAATTTATTCCTCTGGATTAAGCAGTCAACCAAAGTTTTCATCTGGAAGTTTTGAGAAGGTTGCATCACAATTTGTGGAAGAAACGTTTCAGGTGGGAAACAGGTGATTGGTTCTGCCATGACAACGCACCTGCCCACACTGCACTGAGTGTTCAGTAGTTTTTTACTAAAAACAATATGACCCCTCTCCCCATACCCCACCCCCCTAATCTTACCCTGAGCAACTTTTTTTTGTTTCCCTGGATGAAAAAAGTCCTCAAAGCAAAATGTTTTTTCAATGTGGAAGGGGTGAAACAAAAAGTGACAAAAGTACTAAAAGACATCGAAGTTGATGAATTCAAAACCTGTTTTGGGCAGTGGAAAAAGCATCTCCATAAGTGTACGACATCAAATGGAGAGTACTTTGAAGGTGATTGAAGTTTAAATATGTAAGAATAAATAGGCAATTTTTTATAAATAAATTCTGTTTGCTTTTTTTTTAGTCCCCCCTCATTTATCTATATATCTGTTTGGGAGGAAACTTAATTCATAAACATGGTTTGCTAACCTTCCAAAGTTGATTTGGAATGAGACATCCCAGGTGAAAAGCCTGGCTCTGTGACTTACCAGTTGTATAGGCCTGTGCAAGTGACTGTATCTTTTGGTGCCTCTATTTTTTCACCTTTTATGTAAAAGCCTGTCTCACAGGGTTCTATGAAGGATATGTGAGGTACTTGGAGAGTTCTTTCAGTGCTTGATATGTGTCAAGTGCTCAGTAAACGGCCATCCGTTAATAGTTTTAATAATATTGTGCTGAGCTAGGCTTACATTTCAATCTATTTTATAATGATTTATGAGATATGTTTAACAAGTTTATTTCCCTTTATTGTAAAAGGTATAAATAACCATGATGTAGTAAAAAGATAGCTTCACTAATTGCAGAGTTACTTTTTTACTTGAGTGATCATGGTTTACTACACAGTCCTTATCAGAAAGCATTTAGCAAACTACGTACTTGATACTTAACACTGAAGAATTGACCTTAAAGAAATAAAAGACGGCTGGGCGTGGTGGCTCACGCCTGCAATCCCAGCACCTTGGGAGGCAGAGGCAAGAGAATTGCCTGAGCCCAGGGGTTTGAGACCAGCCTGGGCAACTCATCTCCACAGTAGATTAAAAAAATAAAAATAGCCGGGCGTGGTGGTACACACCTATACTTCAAGCTACTTGGAAGGCTGAGGCAAAAGGATCACATGAGCCCAGTAGGTCCAGGCTGCAGTGGCTGTGAGTGTGCCACTGCACTCTGGCCTGGGTGACAAAGTGAAACTCTGACTCCAAAAAAGAAAGAAAGAAAGAAACCCCCCAGGCATGGTGGCTTACATCTGTAATCCCGGCATTTTGGAAGGCAGAAGTAAGAGGATTGCTTGAGTCCAGAGGTTTAAGACCGGCCTGGGCAACTTGGTGAGACCTTGTCTCTACAATAACCAAAAAATTAACTGGTGGTACATGCCTATAGTTTCAGCTACTTAGAAGGCTGAGGCGAAAGGATCACCTGAGCCCGGCAGGTTGAGGCTGCAGTGGCCAGGAGCGTGCCACTGCCTTCCAGCCTGGGCAACAGAGTGAGACTCCAACTCTTAAAAAAAAAAAAAAAAAAGCCGGGCTCGGTGGCTCAGCCTGTAATCCCGCGCCTTTGGTAGGCTGAGGTGAGTGGATTGCCTGAGCCCGCAGGTTCGAGACCCACCTGGGCAACTTGGCGAGACCTCATCTCTACAATAAATCAAAAATGAGCCGGGTGTGGTAGCGCATGCCTGTAGTTCCAGCTACTCGGAAGGCTGAGGCGAAAGGATCGCCGGAGCCCAGCAGGTCAAGGCTGCGGTGGCCGGGAGCGGCCACTGCACTCCAGTCTGGGTGACAGAGTGAGACTCCAACTCAAAAACAACAAAAACAAAAACAAAAACAAAAAAAAAAAAAAGGAAGGAAGAAAGAAAAGCCATCATTGGAGCTCTCAAAATCCATATGAAATTCTAATGTTCCTGCCCGCAAGTGTAACTTGTTTATTTCATTTGCATCTTTGTTTTTCAAAGTAACTGTTGAAGAATAGGTGACCTAATACAACTAAAACCAGAATTCTGATTATTCCTGTGGAAACATAATGTAAATAAGTGGTGCCTAGGTTCAGTACTAGCATTCTGGGTTAGACAGACTGAAGAAGACTAGTTGGGATTCTAATTACTATTTATAGCATGATTACTGCTGTGGCTTCAGAAATTTTAAAGGGAATAACACAATTTTTGAGTAGGCAAGAACTGTATTAGCAACTGTATGTTTTTTCATTTAATTATCAGATCACCTAATGAGGTAGACAATACTGTAATTCAAACCCAGATCCTGTGTTCTTTCTGCTGTTTGTGACTGCTCTTAAGTCATGCATTCTGAGTTTCAACCGAAGACTTAGAAATAGAATTTGAACACAGGTATATTCATAAACTGGGGACTCCTGACATCAGTAGAGAGGTAATAGGGCATAGTTGCTAAACTCAAATTGCAGGACCAGACTGCCTGGAGTCAACTCGCTGATGACCTTGAGCCAATTACTTAACCTCTTTATATCTCATTTCATTAATTGTGCAGTAATAATTCTTCCTCATAGGGTTGTTACACGGATTAAATTAGTGTGTACCATGCGCCAACACAGTACCTTGCACTTAGCACCATGAGAAACCAAGGTGATATGACTGTACAGGTTGAATATCCCTTATCTGAAATGCTTGAGAACAAAAGCGTTTCAGATTTCAGTTTTTTTAAAATTTTGTTATATTTGCATTATACCAGTGTAGCATCCCTAGTCCAAAAATCCAAACTCCAAAATATTCTAGGGAGCATTTCATTTGAGCATCATGTTGGTATTCAAAAAGTTTCAGAGCTTGGAGCATTTTGGATTAGGAATGTCAACCTGTATTGGAGTGTGTCGTTGTATATATGAAAATATGAAATCTGTATCCTCATATATTTTCAAACAGTATTTTATTCCATTTTAATTAGTAACCTAAGAAGGACGCTGACTCAGTTTACATATTTTATAGTTGCTGTTTATTAGAATTATATATATATTTTTTTTTAATTTTGGGTTTAAATTTTTGTATTTTCATTTTAAACATTGTCACTTGGGTGTACGTTGTTTAGGAGAAAACAATTTATGGCCAAGGAAAAAAGGAGTGTTGTTAAAATCAGATGCAGTGCTGTCAAAATCAAAACGAAGAAAAAAACCTGATACGGTTTTTGAAAATCAAGAGGTCCAAGCAATTGGCGGCAAAGATGTCTCTCTGTTTCTCTTCAGAGCTTTGGGAAAAATCCTATATTGTAAAAGTAAGAAATTTTATATACTTGTTTAATCTTTTGGCTATTACATAGTCTTAGAATGGAAATAAAATATCACCTCTTAAAAAAATGTCATCATGTATTTGGTTCTCTTTCAAGAAAGAGCTAGGGCTAGGTCAGATATTGTTTGCCAAGGCCTAAAACAAAGTAGGGAAATGTATTTAGACGTAGTATGTTCTGACTATGAGCAGGAGTGAAGGTAAAACAAACTTCACTAGGCCATATCTGTGTCTATAAATCTCTGAAGTGATAGTTTGTGGAAAGTGAGACAGCATTTCATCTGGACTTTTAGTGACAATTGCTGGTAGCCCAAAGCCCTCTCAGCAAGGGCTCCCACTATCAGGACCTAAGCAAATTGCCAGCCAGCTTAAGGTTTCTTTGACGCCTCCGTTCCTCTGTCTTCTTCACTAGCTTGCTGTCTCCTGACCCACCGAAGTTCTTTGCCCTCTGCTTTGATGCCTGCTCCCTGTCAGCTCCTCCAATCCTGTTGCCCATCTGTAATTTCCCAGATTGAACCCTTCTGTCAATTGCAAATTCTTGTATTTCACCTGATGATTCTGAAGGAAAGAAAATGGGATTTCTAAGTGGAAACCCTTACACCACTTGAAAATGAAATGGGCATCACTTAGGTGGCAATGTAGACACTCCTGTCCCTCGATCCTCTTACCTCTGAACCTCAGTGACTATTCCCACCTGATGCTTTTCCCTCTACCCTTTATTTTCTTTCCCAACATCATTCGTAATCTCTTGCATTAGGGACTGAGGTTCTTATTCACTCATGTAGAAGACAGCATCTTCCTACATAGTAAATAAAAGAGTAAAGACCTCTGTAGAGATGAGAATCAAAGAAAGCAACTCAGAACTGGAAAAGGTGAAATGGGACACTTTAAGTCTAGAAAAGTCACTCCCTGGGCATCAGAATTCTAAATTTTGTTCTCGCTAGTATTGATAAAATAGGTGCTTGCTTCCAGTTTTTTGGCTATTTTTGTTTTTTATTTTTAACAGCTTGCTTAGTATTTTGTCTAAAATGTTCAAAAAGTTTTATCTTTAATAATTTCATAAAATTTTTGTAGGAGCATCTTTAACAGAATTAGACTCACCTCGGTTGCCCCCTCATTTGTTAGAGTATGAACGGGATACATTACTTGTTCAACCTGAGGTAAGATCTTCAGTGACAAGTTAGTACTGTTTACAAAGGATATAGTATTTGTGTGCATATGTATCTAACCACTGCATTTTTACCAGATGTATGTATGTATGCTTCTTTTTATAGGAAGTAGTAGAAATGTCACACATGCCAGGAGAGTTATTTAATTTATATCTTCACCAAAACTACGTAGATTTCTTCATGGAAGTAGATGATCTTGTGAGAGCCAGTGAATTTCTAAGTTTTGCAGATATCCTCAGTGGTGACTGGAATGTAAGACCATTTGACTTAAATATTTTTGTTTATGAGTATTTCCTCAGAATAAGAAAGTTTACTTTTACTTCTCATTGTATGACATTTTATGTGACTTTTCATTATAACTGTGCTTAAGCAAATTCATCCATCCCACCCAGTGTTTGTATGAAGCTGTAGTTAATCTGATTTTTTGGTAATAATAAAGCACTATTTTTTTCTAAAATAAATATATATATATAATTTGTGTGTGTATGATGGAGTCTCACTATTGCTATGTTACCCAGGCTGGTCTTGGATTCTTGGGCTCATGTCATCTTCCCATCTCAGCCGCCTGAGTAGCTGGGATTACAGGTGTAAGCCACCATGCCCAGCTTTTTTTCTGATTTTAATATTAATATATACTCAAAATTTGACAACCATTGAAAAGTGGAAGCCGGGCTCGGTGGCTCAGCCTGTAATCCTGCACCTTTGGGAGGCTGAGGTGAGTGGATTGCCTGAGCCTGCGGGTTCGAGTCCCGCCTGGGCAGCGAGATCTCATCTCTACAATAAATCAAAAAATCAGCCAGGTGTGGTAGCGCGCACCTGTAGTTCCGGCTGCTCGGAAGGCTGAGATGGAAGGATCGCCGGAGCCCAGCAGGTCAAGGCTGCGGTGGCCGGGAGCGGCCACTGCACTCCAGTCTGGGCGACAGAGTGAGACTCCGACTCAAAAAAAAAGAAAGAAAGAAAAGTGGATACAAAGGAAGCAGCTGTACATCTTGCAGTACTTTCTGCTAGTTAAAAAACCTTTTTATACATAGTTGAATTATTTACTATAAAATTTGTATTTTTTTCTGACATCTTTTTGTTTTAATTGTGGGGTACAATTCAGGGTTAGGTATACAAGCATTCATTGTGCACGTTCCCTTTTGGATGAGGTGTGTGTGTCCCCCCCCTCCCCAGGCAGATCTCAACTACTATCAGTTCCACTTTTTCTAACATTTTAACACTGCCCTGACCAGCACCTCAGCCAATAACCACATGTGGTCATTTAAACTTAAATTAAATCTTAATAATTAGAAATGCAGTTCCTCAGTCACACTAGCCACCTCTCCAGTACTTGATCACTGTGTGTGACTGACAGCCACCTTATTGAAAACCCAGATGATAAGACATTTCCATCATTGTGGGACATCATATTAAACAACCCTGTTCAGCCGGGCTTGGTGGCTCAGCCTGGCATCCCGCGTCTTGGGAGGCTGAGGTGAGTGGATTGCCTGAGCCCACGAGTTCGAGACCTGCCTGGGCAACTTGGCGAGACCTCATCTCTACAATAAATCAAAAAATATATATATATTTTTCCATGTTATAAATATGAAATAGCTAAAATTAGGAAAGATACAAAAATTGTAATAACTAAAATTAGGAAAGATACAAAAAAATTGTTATAGAGTTTCATTTGCTTAATTTTAAAAAATAATTGCTTTTTATTTTGAGTTTTTCAAGCTGTAAATAAGTTAAAAGAATAATGCATCTGGGTACAGTGTACCCATACCCATTACTCATGCTTGTAATCCCAGCACTTTGGGAGGCTGAGGTGAGAGGATTGCCCGAGTTCAGGAGTTCGAGACCAGCCTGGGCAAGTTGGCGAGGCCTGTCTCTACAGTAAATCAAAAAATTAGCTGGGCATGGTGGCATGCACCTGTGGTTCCAGCTACTTGGAAGACTGAAGCGGAAGGATCACTTGAGCCCGGCAGGTTGAGGCTGTGGTGGCCATGAGCCATGCCACTGCACTCCAATCTGGGAGACAGAGTGAGACTCCTGCTCAAAAAATTTAAAAAAGAATAATGCAGTCTGGGCATGGTGCCTAATCCACGCACTTTGAGAGGTGGAGGCAAGAGAACTGCCAGGGCACAGGGGTTTGAGACCAGCTTGGACAACTTGGCAAGACCATAAATCAATAAATCAGAAAGTTAGCCAGATTTGATGGCTGAGCATATAGTTCCAACTACTTGGAAAGCTGAGGCGGAGGGATTGCCTGAACCTAGCAGGTCGGGGCAGCGGTAGCTGTGAGCATGCCACTGTACTCCAGCCTGAGTGACTGAGACTCTTCCCCCCTGCCAAAAAAAGAATTATAAAGTGAGCCAGACACAATGGCTCATTCCTATAATTCCAGCACTTTGGGAGATTGAGGTGAGAGGATTGCTTGAGGCCAGGAATGTGAGACCAACCTGGGCAAGATAGTGAGATCCCTGCCTCTACAAAAAAAATACAAAAAATAACCGGGCATGGTAGTCTTAGCTACTCTTTTTTTTTTTTTTTTTTTTTTGGGCGGCTCACTCTCACCCAGACTGGAGTGCAGTGGCCGCTCCCGGCCACCGCAGCCTTGACCTGCTGGGCTCCGGCGATCCTTCTGCCTCAGCCTTCCCAGTAGCCGGAATTACAGGCATGTGCTACCACGCTCGGCTGATTTTTTTTTTGGATTTATTGTAGAGATGAGGTCTCGCTGCCCAGGCGGGTCTCGAACCCGCGGGCTCAGGCAATCCACTCACCTCAGCCTCCCAAAGGCGCGGGATTACAGGCTGAGCCACCGAGCCCAGCTAATCTTAGCTATTCTTAAGGCTGAGGTGGGTAAATTGCTTGAGCCTGGAAGTTTGAGGTTCTATTGAGCTATGATTGAGTCACTGTACTCCTACCTGGGTGACAGACAACAAGACCCTGTCTCCAAAAAAAAAAAAGTAGTACTTGTATACCTTTACCTTTTCTCCAGTTTTTCACATTTCGCCACATTTGCTTAGTCTCTCTGTATTCGCACGCTTGTTTTTGGTTGGGTAGTTGGAAAGTAACTGCAAACATCGTGACACTTAATGCTTAAGGATATTGTTCTATTACAACCACAATAACCTTATCATACCTAAAAAAGTTAGTGTTAATTTAGTAAAATATTATCCCTGTTCGGTTTTCCCTATTTGCCTCAATAAAAAGCGTATTTATTTATTTTTGAGTTGGAGTTTCACTCTGTCACTCACGCTGGAGTGCTGTGGCACGCTCACGGCCACCGCAGCCTCGACCTGCTGGGCTCCGGCGATCCTTCCACCTCAAACTTCCAAGTAGCTGGAACTACAGGCGTGTGCCACGATGCCTGGCTAATTTTTTTATTTATTGTAGAGACGAGATCTTGCCAAGTTGCCCAAGATGGGTCTCGAACCTGTGGACTTGGGTAGTCCTCTCTCCTCCACCTCCCAAAGTGCTGGGATTACGGGCTCAGAAAGTATTTAAAGTTGTTCCCCCACCCCATCCAAGATCCAGTCAGGGTTTACACATTGCATTTGATTATGTCTCAGTTTAATTTGTTCTAAATAAGTTTAGCACTGTTCTTTTTAAGGCTGTAGTGAAGTTGAAAAAAGTGAGCACATAGAAACTAACTGTGGTTAAAGTTCTTTTGCATGTATCAGTCATACCAAAAATACTGTTTTCTAAATCTCTTATTTTCTTTATTTCCCTTCTTGTCTCATTTGTTAGACACGCTCTTTACTCAGGGAATATAGTACATCTGTAGCTACAAGAGGTGTGATACATTCCAACAAAGCCCGGGGATTTGCTCATTGCCAAGGAGGAGGATCAAGTTTTCGACCCTTGCACAAACCCCAGTGGTTTATAATAAATAAAAAGGTGAAAAAAAGAATTGTACACTTTCAATAGGTGACCTTTTGTGTATGTGAATTATATCTCTAAGCTGTCTTTTAAAAATATTTTTTAAATTATGTTTTATTTGTAATAAAATATTTGGCTAAGACCCACAATTTTCTGAGAATTATGATAAAACATAAAACATTAAAAAGGTTCTCTTCTTGAATGCTTGTTCAATTTTTTAAGGAAAAACCCTCAAAATTTGAAAGCATATACCTGTTTCATTTATTTGTTGACTTTTATTGGAACCTAGTATAGTTGTGTTTTAGTTTCATCTAAAAATAAGCCCTGGTTCAACCTGAGAAAACTAATTTAAAAAATACACCCTAGAATGTAAAATTTCAGATAGTCAAGAGGAGTAAGTTCAAGGTCAAGAGATCTATTATAAAGCATGATGACTGTAGTTAGTAACAATGTATTATATACTTGAAAATCACCAAGACAGCAGATTTTAAGTGTTCTCACCACAGAAAAATGCTGTGTGTGTGAGGTAATGCATATGTTGGTTCAATTTATTCCACCACGCATACATATTTTAAACACCATGTTTGGGGCCAGTCGTGGCTCATGCCTGTAAATCATAGCACATTGGGAGGCCAAGGCAGGAGGATCGCTTGAGCCCAGGAGTTTGAGACCAGTCTGGGCAACATAGAGAGACTTTGCCTCTATAAAATGTAAAGAAATAGCCGTATGCAGTGGTGTGCACCTGTAGTCCCAGCTACTCAGAAGACTGAGGTGGGAGGATCACTGAGCCCAGGAGGTTGAGGCTGCAATAAGCTGTGATTGCACCACTGCACTCCAACCTGGGCAAAAGAGTGACACCCCGACTCAAAAAACAAAAACAAAAAACATCATGTTCTATAAATATACATATAATGTTTATTTGTCAATTTAAATAAATAAAATGAAAAAGGAAAAGAAAAGAAATCTTGGCTTTGCCTTTAACCACCTGGACAGGTCGTCTCACTAATGTGCTCTTAGTTTCCACAGCTATAAACGTAGAGGGTTGAATGATTCAGAGGCCACAAATGGGTGGACTATAAGTTGAATACAACATACACAACAGATTTTTTTAAATTCATTGCCCATTTTGATGAATTAGTATAATAATTAAAACTTAGATAGGAGTTTCTAGCTTCAGAATTTCTGAAATTTCCTGAGGAAAAAAAGGAAAGTGCGGCAACACTGGTTTATATTTCTACATGGCATTGACCAGTACAAGCCAAGTAGCGTCTGTCCCATTGATATGACAGTAGTAGGCACCACTGTTCCCAGCCATTCACTTATTACATTGCCTGCCTGACAGCTGTACTCATCTTAATTTGTAACCCAGGGACTGGATCCTCTGAGATGTCTTCTAGTTCTCAAATCAGATGGCTAAATATGGCCCTGTAATTTATTACCTAGGAAATATTTTTCAACAGATTTCTTCTGACTTCTAAGTAGTTTATATCCCTTATTGATTTGCTGTGTCATTTATAGCACATATATTAATTTTGTATTATAGCTACTTATGAATTATTTAAGACTGTAAGCTCCTTGAAGGTAGGAATTGTTCTTTCTTCATCAGCCTAACATTGTGTTGACTGAAGAAATTATTTCATTGAGAAAAAGTATTTTCATATAATTTGGGATATGTATGTGTCCATAAACAATTCCTTTCATTTTTCTTATTTTTTTATTTTTATTGTTAAAAATAGAGACATGGGCTCACTATGTTACCCAGGCGGGTTTCGAACTCCTGGGCTCAAACCATCCTTCTTCCTCAGCTTTCCAAAATGCTAGAATGACAGGTATGAGCCACTGCACCTGGCCTGATTTTTAAGTTTGTTCTCATACATTCTCTTTAAAAAATTCTTCTTTTTATGTCAAATATAAAATAATTGAGTAGATAAGCTCTTAAAAGTATATTTCTGGACTGGGTGTGGTGGCTCAAGCCTGTAATCCCAGCACTTTGGGAGGCCAAGGCAAGAGGATTCCCTGAGCCCAGGGCTTTGAAACTAGCCTGGGCAACTTTGTGAGATCTTGTCTCTATGATAAATCAAAAAATTAGCTGGGCGTGTTAGTGCACACCTGTAGTTCCAGCTACTTGGAGGGCTGAGGCGGAAGGATCACGTGAGTCCAGCAGGTTGAGGCTGCAGTGGCCGTGAACATGCCACTGCACTCCAGCCTGAATGACAGAATGAGACTCCAACTAAAAAAAAAGTATATTTGTGGTATATAAATCCACACACTTTGTGATGTAATAACTGTAGTTTGTCTAGAAACACATAACTATATTTTTAATTTTATGTTTCCTTTTTTTTATATACAGTATCGAGAAAACTGCTTGACCGCAAAAGCACTGTTTTCTGACTTCTGCCTACCAGCTTTATGCCTCCAAACTCAGCTCGTGCCCTACCTGGCTCTGCTACCTGTTCCAATGAGAAATCAAGGTAATAACACGGGGTTTTCTCTTCCACAAAAAAATAGTGTTATGTAGTGATGTCTTTTTGTGAGGCGACTTATTGTTAGATACAGTTGGATACATTCTTTCTCTTTTATTTTTTGACCCAGAATTAATACATTCTTTTAAAAAAGCATCAAACAGCCGGGCTCGGTGGCTCAGCCTGTAATCCCGCGCCTTTGGGAGGCTGAGGTGAGTGGATTGCCTGAGCCCGCGGGTTTGAGACCCGCCTGGGCAGTGAGACCTCATCTCTACAATAAATCAAAAAATCAGCCAGTAATGGTAGCGCATGCCTGTAACTCCGGCTCCTTGGAAGGCTGAGGCGGAAGGATCGCCGGAGACCAGCAGGTCGAGGTTGCGGTGGCCGGGAGCAGCCACTGCACTCCAGTCTGGGCGACAGAGTGAGACTCCAACTCAAAAAAAAAAAAAAAAAAAGCATCAAACAATATAGAAATATATAAAGTAAAAATTGAAAGTACCTCCCAAGCCAGGCTCGGTGGCTCAGCCTGTAATCCCGCGCCTTTGGGAGGCTGAGGTGAGTGGATTGCCTGAACCCACGGGTTCGAGACCTGCCTGGGCAACTTGGCGAGACCTCATCTCTACAATAAATAAAAAAAATAGCCGGGCGTGGTAGCGCATGCCTGTGTTTCCAGCTACTTGGAAGGCTGAGGCAGAAGAATCGCTGGAGCCCAGCAGGTCGAGGCTGCGGTGGCCGGGAGCGGCGACTGCACTCCAGTCTTGGGCAACAGAGTGAGACTCCAACTCAAAAAAAAAAAAAAAAAAAGTACCTCCCCTACAACCACAGGTTGCTTTTGGCAGAATGTAAATTCTTCCACACTTTCTTTTGTGAGAATAAAGAAATGAGACAGAATGAGGCAAGCCTTAATTTGTGTATGTCACTTTCAATAGACATGTTTTTGTATTTTATAATTAATGTCAAAGCAGCACTGCCAATGTATCTTCAAATCTAACTATTACAAAATACTGTCCATTAATAGTGTATTTACTAGCCAGGCAAGGTGGCTCACACCTGTTATCCCAGTACTTTGGGAAGCAGAAGTGAGAGAATTGCCTGAGCCCATGGGTTCGAGACCAACCTGGGCAACTTGGCGAGACCTCATCTCTACAATAAATCAAAAAATTAGCCAGGCGTGTTGGCACATGCTTGTAGTTCCAGCTACTAGGAAGGCTGAGGTGGAAAGATCACCTGAGCCCAGCAAGTCGAGGCTGTGGTGGCCATGCGCGTGCCACTGCACTCCAGCCTGGGCAACAGAGTGAGACTCTGACTCAAAAAAAAAAATTAGTATATTTACTTTGTATTTCCAAGTTTTAAAATTATAAATAATGCTACAAGCATTAGTATTCCTGTGGTAGTACACACTTGCATAAGTTTTTTGTCTTCTGAGATTTGCCTTCTTATGAACAGTACCAATTTTACCATCAGTTTCTCTTTTTTTAGTGTGTATTTTAAGGGCCACATCTCATTAATAGTCACATGTCTATGGTGCTGATCTTTTAGGTAGAACAGAACATTTTTGTAATATTAAAAATATGAGTAATCTGCTGGGTGCAGTGGCTCACGCCTGTAATCCCAACACTTTGGGAGGCAGAGGTGAGAGGATTACCTGTGCCCAGGGGTCCGAGACCAGTCTCAGCAACTTAGTGAGACCTCATCTCTATAATAAATTGAAAAAATTAACTATGCATGGTGGCGTGTGCCTATGGTTTCCGTTACTTGGAAGGCTAAGGCAGAAGGATCACCTGAGCCCAGCACTTCTAGGCTGTGGTGGTCGTGAGTGTGCCACTGCACTCCAGCTCGAGGGACAACTCAAAAAAATATATATATATATATAATATATAATGTTCATTTGTATATATATAAAATATATACTAGTAGTCTACCACATAGCTCACCAAAACGTCTTGGTAATTTTTTTTTTTGAGTTGGAATCTCACTCCGTCGCCCAGACTGGAGTACAGTGGCTGCTCCCGGCCACCACAGCCTCGACCCACTGGGCTCTGGCGATCCTTCCACCTCAGCCTTCCGAGTAGCCGGAATTACAGGCATGCACTACCACGCCCGGCTGATTTTTTATTTATTGTAGAGATGAGGTCTTGCTGCCCAGGCGGGTCTCGAACCCGTGGGCTCAGCGTCTTAGTAATTTTTTTTTTTTTTTTTGAGTTGGAGTCTCACTCTGTCGCCCAGACTGGAGTGCAGTGGCCGCTCCCGGCCACCACAGCCTTGACCTGCTGGGCTCCGGCGATCCTTCCGCCTCAGCCTTCCAAGTAGCCAGAATTATAGGCATGCGCTACCACGCCCGACTGAGTTTTTGATTTATTGTAGAGATGAGGTCTCGCTTCCCAGGTGGGTCTCGAACCCGAGGACTCAGGCAATCCACTCACCTCAGACTCCCAAAGGCGCGGGATTACAGGCTGAGCCACCGAGCCCGGCTGCGTCTTGGTAATTTTAAAGACAGAGTTTGCCCTATCAGAAGGATTAAAGAGTAAATGTCTGTTTTTTTTATTTTATTTTTTTGAATCAGAGTCTCACTCCGTCACCCAGGCTGGAATGCAGTGGCACGCTCCCGGCCACCGCAGCCTCGACATGCTGGGCTCCGGCGATCCTTCTGCCTCAGCCTTCCAAGTAGCCAGAACTAGAGGCGCACGCTACCATGCCCGGCTTATTTTTTTGATTTATTGTAGAGATGAGTTCTCGCCAAGTTGCCCAGACGGGTCTCGAACCCACAGGCTCAGGCAGTTCACTCGCCTCGGCCTCCCAAAGCGCGGGATTACAGGCTGAGCCACCAAGCCTAGCCATAAATATCTATTTTATACAGTAAAGAGCTTCATCTTATGGCTCGAGTATTGATATTTAAAGTTTTAAAAAATGTTTTTCATTCATAGGCAAAAGTGGGATTACTTTTGGGCAGTGGATGTGATTACTATATGTGTCAGAATTCATAGATTTCCCTATCCTTGCCAGTTTATTTTATGAGTATACTAGTTTCTTCTTTTTAAAATTTTATTTTGGAATTATTTCAAACTTAGAGAAAAAATGCAAGAATATTACAAAAGAATTCCTATATACCCTTCACTAGGATTCCCATTGTTCCCTTTTTTTTTTTTTTTTTTTTGAGTTGGAGTCTCACTGTCACCCAGGCTGGAGTGCAGCGGCCACCGCAGGCTCGACCTGCTGGGCCCAGGCGATCCTTCTACCTCACCCTCCCAAGTAGCTGGAACTACAGGCATGCATTACCACGCCCGGCTAATTTTTTTATTTATTATAGAGACAAGGTCTTGCCAAGTTGCCCAGGCTGGTCTCGAACCCCTGGACTCAGACAATTCTCTTGGTCCAGGCTCCCAAAGTGTTAGTATTACAGGCTTGAGCCACCACGGTTGGCCTATATTTTTAAACTTTTTAGAGATAGGGGACTTGCTCAATCACTCAGGCTAGGGTGCAATGGCATGATCATAGCTCACTGCAACCGTCCATTCTTGGGGACGAGCAGTCCTCCCACCTCAGTCTCTTGAGTAGCTTTGACTACAGGTGCACACCATCATGCCTGGCTAATGTTTTAAATTTTTTGTAGAGACAGGGTCTTGCTATGTTGCGCAGGCTGGGCATGAACTCCTGGGCTCAAGTAATCCTGTCATCTCACCCTCTAAAATGCTAGGGTTACAGGCTTGGGCTCCATACCCAGCACTGTGTTTTTTGATTGCATAATCTCGATCATTTTATGTCCAGGTTCACTGATTCTTCTGCCGGTTCATATCTACCATTGAGGCCCCCTTTTGTGAGTTTTCATTTGGGTTATTGTACTTTTGTTTGGTTTTTGCTGCCATCCAGGCTGGAGTGCAGTGGCACAGTCACTGTTTACTACAGCCTCAGCCTTCTGGGCTCAAGCCATCTACCCTCTCAGCTTCCCAAGTAGCTGGGACCACAGGCACGCCCAGCTAATTTTATTTTTTGTAGAGACACAAGGTTCTATTGCCCAAGCTAGCCTCAAACCCTTGGGTTCAAGCACTCCTCTCACCTTGGTCTCCTGAAGTGCTGGGATTACAGATGTGAGCCACCTCACCCAACCTTGTCCTCTCTCCAGAATTTCATTTGGTTCTTTTATAGTTTTTGTCATTCTCTTTCTGATAAGACATTGTCATATAGTTCTCTTTACTAAATTAAGCGTGGTTTCCTTTTGTACTTTGAAAATATTTCTAATAGCTTATTTGAAGTCTTTTTATGTCCGCTTTAATGTCTGGGCCCTCTCAAAGGCAGGTTCTTTTGCCCACTTCTTCCCTGTGAATGGGCCATACTTTCCTGTTTCTTCATGTCTCATATTTTTTTTTTTAAGCTAGACATTTAGGGAATATATTGTAGCAACTCTAGACACTGATTCTCCTCCTCTGGAGCTTGTTCTTACTGTCATGTTTGTTTATTTGTTTTTTTTTTAGTGATTTGGCTAAACTAGTTTAATGAAGCCTGTCTTCTCTTGAAGTATGAAGCCTTTGTTTCTTCTCGGAGAACTCAGCCTTGGGCATGCCCTCATTACCTTGGGATGATGGTGTTTTTAGCAGGGCTCTCTGTCTCTTTCCCTGGTCTCCCTGTATAGCTCTCTCTGCCTCATCTGTTAGGCTCACTTACCTGCTAGGCTCCACTAATTACTGACTGGTTTTACTGTTATTTACAACATTTCTGTGGGGCAAAACTTTCCCCACTGTCTGATCCAATTGCTTTTGGGCAAATGTAGGCTTTGAGAAAGTCGGTCTCTGAGCTTAATCCAAGGTTCTTAATCCAGGAGAGCTTTTAGTTGTCTCTTTCCCTGGTTATATCCTGTGAACTGGCTGGTTTCTGTTTAGCTTGTTTTTAATTAGGAGGAGCTCGTATCATGGGTGACTTTAGGCTTGAGCTTCCCCATTCTGTGTTTCAAATAGAGTCAGTTCTTTTGGGGAAAGCTTCGGCGCTCTCTTTTCCTATGTACTGCCTCTTCTCTGGGCAGAATCATTGAGCCACAGTTTGCAGAGGTAGCCTCTGATCACTGTGTCCTGCCTCTTCCACTGTGGACCCTCTGCTGTACTAAGAAGCTAGAGTGAAGGAGATTGTAGTGAGGAGAGGGAGTCATGTCTCTGGGATAGAACTTCTTAACCTCTGACTTGGGGCTGGGCGGAGAAAGGAAGCCCTGAACATGGCGCATTCAGCAGGAGGGAGCCCTTTGTGCTTGGCTGCACCCACCTGGAATGAGGTTTCCATCAGGAGTGGGAAAGAGGAGGGAGGAGATAGTTGCTTAGATGCCTCAGATTCTCCCTGTCAGAGTTTCCTGAATGAATGTTTCACTTGCTATTTATATTCCTTTAGAACAATTTTCAGAGACCTTAAATGATTGATTTTTATTTTCATAGTTTTTACCAGTTTTGTTTATCTCACCAAGGAGTGGGTACACAAGAGCTTATACTGTCATTCAGTAAGTCTACTGTGTCATTCTTTTCTTTTTATTTTTTTTTTGAGTTGGAATCTCACTCTGTCGCCCAGACTGGAGTGCAGTGGCCGCTCTCAGCCACCGCAGCCTCGACCTGCTGGGCTCCGGGGATCCTTCCGCCTCAGCCTTCCAAGTAGCTGGAACTACAGGCGCGTGCTACCACACCTGGCTAATTTTTTTGATTTATTGTAGAGATGAGGTCTCACCAAGTCGCCTAGGTGGGTCGCGAACTTTTTAATTTTTTAATTGTGGTGAAATATAACAAAATTTATCATCTTAACCATGTTTAAGTCTGCAGTGCAGTAGTTTTAAGTATATTCACCTTGCTCTGCAACCAGTTTTCAGAACTTTTTTGTCTTGCAAAACTGAAACTCTATAACCAGTTACAGTAACTCCTCATTTCCCTGGCAATCACCATTCTATTTTTTTCATTATGAATTTGACTACTCTAGATACTTCATAAAGCAGTATCATACAAATTTGTCCTTTTGTTACTGGCTTATTTCACTTAGAATAATGGCATCAAGGTTAACCCTTGTAGTAGCATGTGTCAGCATGACCTTCCTTTTTTTTTTTTTTTTTTTTTTTTGAGTTGATGTCTCACTCTTTCACCCAGACTGGAGTACAGTGCCACACTGCTCATGACCACTGCAGAGCCTCAACCTGCTGGGCTCAGGCAATTCTTCTGCTTCAGCCTTCCAAGTAATTGGAACCACAGGCATGCGCCACCACGCCCGGCTAATTTTTTTGATTTATTGTAGAGAGAAGGTCTCACCAAGTTGCCCAGGCTGGTATCTAATCTGTGGGCTCAGGCAGTCCTCTCGCCTGTACTTCCCAAAGTGCTAGGATTACAAGCATGAGCCACCACACCCAGCCGACCTTCCTTTTTAAAAGCTGAAAAATACTCTATTGTATGTATATACCACATTTTGGTTATCTATCCATCTTTTGATGGACCCTTGGGCTTCCACTTCTTGATTATTGTGAATAATGTTGCTGTGAACAAAGGTATAGAAATATCTCATTGAGACCTTGCTTTCAGTTCTTTTGGGTATACATCCAGAAGTGGAATTGTTGAATCATATAAGAATTCTCTTTTTAATTTTTGGGGGACCCACCATACTGTTTTCCACAACAGCTAGCCCATTTTATTCTTACCAGCAATGCACAAAGGTTTCAATTTCTTCACATCCTTACCAATATTTATTTTCTGTTTTTTGGATAACAATCATCATAATAGATGTGAAGCATTATCTCACTGTGGCTTGGATATGCATTTCGTATGCTTAATGACCATGTGTATATTTTCTTTGGAAAATCGTTTACAACTTTTTAAAAATCTGTTTTCAGCTCAGATTTCTTTTATCCAAGATATTGGAAGACTCCCTCTGAAGCGACAGTTTGGAAGGTAAGCTGATCATCTCAATTTCCAAAGAGCTGTAATTGAAGTGTCCATTGACTGTATTCAATATAAATCAATAAATGTTGCCGGGCTCGGTGGCTCAGCCTGTAATCCCGCACTTTGGGAGGCTGAGGTGAGTGGATTGCCTGACCCCACGGGTTTGAGACCCGCCTGGGCAACTTGGCGAGACCTCATCTCTACAATAAATCAAAAAATTAGCTGGGCATGGTAGCACGTGCCTGTAGTTCCAGCTACTTGGAAGGCTAAGGCGGAAGGATCGCCGGAGCCCAGCAGGTCGAGGCTGTGGTGGCCAGGAGCGTGCCAGCACTCCAGTCTGGGTGATAGTGAGACTCCAACTCAAAAAATAAATAAACAAATAAATGTTATCTGTAAAGTCTGAGGAAGACATTGTACCTAGTGATTAAAAACCAAGTAATTGTATTGTAAACTCTTTTATTAAATACAGTAGCATATTTTCACCCACTCTCAGTGGAATATACCAGACTAAATAGATTCATGGAATCACAAAGGACTCTTTAAATTCCTCTAGTTGAAGAAATCCTGCAAATCTAGAAACCCCTTTTCAGTTTTCCTGCCAAAAGATGTTCTTAACCAATGCTTGAAGTCCTGCGATGACCAGAAGCTGCCTCAAAAAGTAACAATGTCCTTTATGTTTTCTTATTTTAGAAAATTCAGACAAGCCAAAAACTAGAGAGATACTGTCCATTTTATCGGAAAATAACTTCTGGGCCAATATCAGTAATTAACACAAAGGCTATGTTTCAGTTTGGCTCAGCTTATTTGTAAGATTGAATTAAGCACTCAGGAATTTTTTTAAGATTTTTAAAAGGCTTGCTTACTGACTGCATGGACACTAAAAGTTAATGGTAGAGATGGCATCTGTTACCCTTCCTACTTTTTCTCCTATTCCTGGTCCCAAATGGGAAACCCTTGTGGTATGGGTTTTTCCCCTCTACCCTCATAAGATTCATTAGGGCCCTTTGTAGTGTTAATGGCTTTTTCAGGATATGGTTTAGCTCTGTGGAGCCCATCTTTCCTATCACAGAAATACAGTGATGGAAAAATGTTGAAGTATCATCCCACTGGGATGCTATTAGGGCTTAGACCTTTTATAAACTTGGATTCCCCTCCTCACATCCCTCTGAGTCAAAGCAGGATCAGCTGTCTTTGATAGCTCCTTTTCCTCCCAAGATTATGACATCAAAATAAAGGACAGGCAAGTATCTCCTATTAATTTTTTCTCCTAAGATATAATTAAATAAATAGAGTCTTCACTATTTTATTATTGATTCGATTACTTGATCTGACTTGGGAGGCAGAATTTGTCAGTGCTACATGTCACAATGACTGTTGCTATTCTCTTTCAGTTATGTTGACCGTATTTAAAATGATCCTTGATTCGTATTGATAACATTTAGTGTTTATTAAATATGAATATTCAGTAGCTGCATAATTTCCTGTAATTCAACCTACACCTTATTTGTGTGCATTTAGCTTCTTTACAACTTCTATCTTAGCCTTGTAGATAAACCATCATGTACATCAAATACTGTTTACTTAGGATGAACTTCTAGAAATGAAGTTGTTGGATCAATAACTACACACCTTTTTGAGGCTTTTCCTCTTTAGCTTGCAGGAATACATCTGCCAGGTTATTTTTTTGTTTTGGGGTTTTGTTTTGTTTTGTTTTGTTTTTTGAGTCTCACTCTGTTGCCCAGACTGGAGTGCAGTGGCCGCTCCCGGCCACCGCAGCC